GGTTCAGATGCGGTGACTCTGGACTATCTGCAAAGCATGTGGTCGCTCTGGGATTAGTCGGCTCGCATAGTGGGCTAGATATCCAGGTTAATAAAAAAAAATGCTAATTAAGTGACTGAAAATTTACAAAATTTTAATAAATATTAAGAGATGAATAAAGGCTTGACGTTTTAGATCACGACTTTGTAATCTCGGAGCCTTTCTCTCTTATCTGAACTAAAAACCGAGGAAGAGTAAAAACTTGGTGAAAATGGCAAAAAATTTACTGTTAATTCAGGTTTGATGTTGATAGTGACGGAAAATTGTCTCAGTTAAGATTGTGAACTTAGTTTTTTTAAAATATATATGGTTATCGATGTAACTTGTTATTCATGTTATCGATTATGTTTTGTTCAATGCCTTATGACCAACGCATGTTTGATTTATGTTATTTCTCAAAATTGATGACAATTGATTTTGACAATTTCGCTTTAAAATCATGTTGTATACAAAGGCTTTAAAACTTAACTTCCTTTTTATAAGCTTTCTAATCATATGAAGAAAAAAGAGACTGTTGATTGTGTAAGAGCATCTTCAATAGCCATGTTATTTTAGAAATATTAGAGATTTGAAAAAGTTTGTTCCAACTATCTATACTATATTATAAAACATTTGACAATAACTCTTAAAAACCATTTTTTATGCGTAAAGTACTGTTTATTAATGCATATTACTTAAAACTCAAGATTACAAGTAGTTTGTGCGTAAGTACAACTTATTAAAGCTCCATATCTGAATTCGTGTAACTAACTGCAGATCAACATAATCAAATACAGGATAAACATTTCATTTTAAATATAAAAAATTTAAAATATAATTAGGATAATTATTAAGTTATAACAGAAAACTTAATTATTATCTTTATAAAATGTTATATTATTAAACCAAAAATAAATTATTTCGTTATTAAACTTAAATTAAATTATAATAAAAATAATAAATTAAAGAAAATTACATAAAATTTGAGAACTTTTAAATATTTGATTTGATATTAACATTGATATATTTTTTTCAAAAATAAAACCATTATTACTTTCTTAAAAACACATAAAATCGTATTATAACATCGATAGAGACAAATAATAAAATAGAATATTAAAATCGAGATATTTCTCATTGTCTTACGCGAGTACTATTCTAGTTATATTAAACTAGAAAGGTACTTGCACACATTGCGCGAGATAAATCTCAATTTTAATATTTAGTTTTTATTCTTTGTCTCTCTCGATATAATACGATTTTGTGTGGTTTTGAGAAAACGATAATCTTTTTATTTTTGAATGAAATATAAATTTGAAAAAAAAAAATCGATATTAGTATCAAATTAACTATTTAATAGTTTTTTTTTGTGTAACTTCTTTAATTCAATTTTTTTATTATAATTAAGTTTAGATTTAATAACAAACTAATTTATTTTTGATTTAATAATATAATTTTTTACAAAAATAATAATTAAACATTCTGTTAGAACTCAATGATTACCTTAATCATATTTTAGATTTTCTATATTTAAAATGAATGTTTATCTTGTATTTGATTATGTTTATTTGCAGTTAGTTACACAGATTTAAAAATATAGTTTTAATAAGTTGTACTTATGCAAAATTACTTGTAATCTTGAATTTTAAGTAATATACATCAATAAAAAGTACTTAATATATAAAAAATTATTTTTAATAATTTTTGTCAAATATTTTATAACATAATATAGATATTCATGTAAAATAAAGAAAATTAAGAGAGAGAACGAAGGAATATTTAAATTTAAAAAAAAAGAAAAAAATATAGCATAGATGTTGAAAATGGTTTAAATAGTTAAAATTTAAAAATAATTAAATGTGAATTTATATTTACATAAATTTTATATAACATTTTGATAATCGTGAATCCATTAAAGATCTCGAATGTGGAGCATATTTTGGGTCGAGATTCATCCAATTCCATGACATGCCATGCCATGCTGCAGGAGACATAATAATTTTAGTTTCTGAATTGTTTATTTAAATAGTAATTATTTTAATTTAATTTATTCCAAGATCAAATTTCATTTTTTGGTGGTATTAAACAACGCAAGAGAGTCAAAATTTTATGGCTGATTAGTTGTAATATTCGATCCTTTTCAAGATTTTCCAAACCTATTTATTAATATTCATAAATCATACACATTCTTTTTGCTTTTTTTAAAAACATCATACGTAATTCAAGCGTTTATAATTTGTTTTATTCATAATATTTTATAAATTCAATTATTAATCAAATATTTGCTTTCTAAAATTACATTTTCATAACATTTTAGGACGTTTTTAAAATAAATTATCGTATTAAGTATTTTATATGACAATTTTGAGAAGTCTAATACAAACCCATATTTTTATAGGACGTTTGTGTTTTTATGGTATAATTTTTTCAAATAATGTCGTATAAAATAACAAATACAATGTTTTATTAAAAAAAGGTTGAAAAAACTTGTTAGAACATTTTATAAACCTGTTATAACAACTTAAGGGTTGTTTACTAAACGCTTACCTGGTAGGTGCTTACCAAACAATTTTCCTCACCGGACGAACATGACAAGGCCTAAGAATCTTACCTGATAAGAGTGACGATAAGGATATAGCGTCTTACCCGGTAAGTGTGGGTGACGACTTTTACCCGGGTAAGCACTTAACATATATATTGTTGCATATGATACCATTTTGATATACTGCAATCTTATCCAAAAAATAAATTATAATGTTGGTTTCTAACAATAAGTACTTACCGAGTAAGCATTTAGGTAAACAACCCCTTAATATCGTTGTAATGTGATATCTCTTTCAATCTCATCGTTATATTTGTCTGAAAAATCATATTCTTTTTGTTGTAATCGTATTTATTAGACAAATCCGATTATGTGTTTAAGTCATCACATATTGAGTAATTATCAGGGTAGACGGAAATAACTTGTCATGACAACTTTGGCTTTATCCGTTCCAAGCTAACTTCAATTTTCAAATTGTCGCCTCTACTTTAAGAAAAGAACCATCTTTATCGTACATTTGAAAATGTAAATTTTAAATTTAATATCTTTATGTGACGAACAAACAATTTATTATTAAAAGAAAAATGTAAAGATTTTAAAGTGACGCACTGTATGGGTACGTTCTCGTTCTACGTTCGGCGAATGATTTGGGTATGGATTTTAACTAAAGATGAGCTGAGGTGATTGTGTGTATTATAGAATTTTTGTTAGGTTTTGATGATGAATTGATTTGAAGAAGCGATTTAGCTGGTCATGGGTTTAAGACCCCGGTCTGAGCCAACAAGATAAGAGGAGAACGTGCATTGCATAATTCATCTGATGTGATGGGTTGAGTTTTACTTATTTGAACCCATGGAAACCGCCAAACAAATTGCCGGTTGAAACAAAATTAACCAACAAAAAAAACAAAACCGGATTATATGGTGTCCTCTGACCCACCCTAATTCCGATCCGACCCACGTACTCCTTGGTGCTAATTGCCTCCTACCACATCTCATTTCTATTATTATTGCTTCATATATTCAAATCATAGGTTTTAATTCCAAATTTCTTGATTATATATACATTAGACTAGGTATCTTTATTTGAATTACAGATAAAATGGACGCAAACCTTATTCCGGTGTATGTATATGTACTATGAATATATTTTTAAAAACTATTTCAAGTAGCATTTCAAACTCTCAGGTAGTTGTATAAATTTTCTCCACTTGTTTCAATTAAGCCTTTTATATATTTTACATTGTATCTAATTAATCAGCTAGTTTCTATCAAGTTAAATTAGTTTATCAACTAACAACTAGTTTATTAATAAACATTTAAAGAGCATCTCCAACACCTTCTTCAAAACTAGAGAAAATAGAGGTTTTAAGCAAGTTTTTACTCCAACAGATTCTCAAAAACAAAGAAAGTTATTGAGATGATGCAAAAATCTTCAAATTTGGAGAAATCTCTAAAAATAATCACCAAAAGAGAGAAACATTTTTTTTGATTATTTTTCACCAATGAGAAATTTTGACATTAAAAGTTTAGATGAAAGAAATAATATTTTATTAAATATATGAAATATTTTAATAATATAATTATCGTTATAATCTCTAAAATAAAGAAGATTTTAGAGTTGAATATAATAATTTTTAGAAATTTTGAATTTTAATTTTAATTTTTTATTTAGGAGAAATTTAAAAAAAAAAAAAACTATTAAAGATGGTGTAACTTTTCAAGTAACTTATGGTGTAGCTAGTAATTTATCAAGTAAGTTGATAATATTATTACTTTTTAATATGATAGAAGATATTCGCGCAATATAACGAAATAAATCTCGATTTTAATGTTTAGTTTTTATTCTGTCTCTATCAATAAAATACGATTATATGTGGTATTGGGAAAACGATAATGTTTTTATTTTTGAATGAAATATAAATTTTAAAAAAAAATCGATATTAGTATCAAATTAACTATTTAATAGTTCTCGTTTTTTTTAAATTATTGAATTCAATTTTTTATTATAATATAATTTTTTATAATATAATAACAAAAAAATTTATTTTTTGGTTTAATAATATAATTTTTTAATTAAAATAATAATTAAACATTATGTTAGAACTCATTGATTATCCTAATTATATTTTAGATTTTTTATATTTAAAATAGATGATTATTCTGTATTTGATTATGTTTATCTGTAGTTAGTTACACAAATTTAAAAATAAAGTTTTAATAATTTATACTTACGTAAAATTATTTGTAATCTTAAATTTTAAGTAATATATACAAATAAACGATATTTTATACATAAAAATTAGTTTTTAAAAAAATTTATCGAATTTTTTATAATAGAGTATAGATTTATATAGCTGCGAAGGAAAAAGAAAAATACTCTTTGGTGAAGGGGAGGGTCAGAAATAAAGAGAGTGAGCGTGCGGACACGACATTAGACAAAGAGGTTGCACGTTAGAAAGGCGGCCTGTGGTCGGTTGGTCATTCATTCTCCTCCCTTCTTTACACTCCCTCCCTCTTCACCACTTCATTCAGTTCTTCCATTCATTCTCTCTCTATCTTTCTCTCTCTCTCTCTCTCTCTCTCTCTTCAAATTAGCAATGAGGACCTTGTGCCCTAACTTGGACAACGAAGATGCTCTCGAAACTGTGCTCGAAGTTCCCATACCGGAGGAAAGCTTTGAAGATCACACCAAGATCAACCACAATACCATCACCTCTAACTGGCAAACCATGAAATCATGGATCAAACCTCACTCAACTGATCAAACACGCCAATTCTCTGATTATGGGGGTCGGAACGCCCAAATTCAGCTCTTGCTAGGAGTCATCGGAGCTCCGCTTGTCCCTCTTCCTATCTCCTCCGTCCACTCCACCATGATCAACCCGAGTATCCAAGATCACCCTATCGTAAGTCAAATTTCAAGGTTCTACTTCAATTTTAGAATTTTTTTAGTACGATTTTGAAATATATTAATTGTGTTGATGAAATAATATAGGAGGCTTCGATGGCTAAATACATCGTGCAACAATATATAGCAGCGGCGGGAGGAGAAAGGGCTCTGAATTTAGTTGACAGTATGTATGCTGTAGGGAAGGTGAAGATGGTGGCGTCGGAGTTCATCTCTGAAGACGGAGTATCTATTAACTGCAACGGTTTAAGCGGCGGCGGTAAGGCCATGAAATCGAAGAACGTGAAAAACGGTGGTGCTGAGATGGGTGGGTTTGTGTTATGGCAAAAGAGGCCGGACCTTTGGTCTTTAGAACTGGTTCTTTCCGGCTACAAGATCAGCGCCGGCAGCGACGGCAAGGTGGCGTGGCGGCAAACACCGTGGCACCATTCTCATGCATCCCGAGGCCCCCCTAGACCTCTCCGTCGTTCCTTACAGGTACAATTTCATTACGGAACTTGGGGTTTGGTTTTGTTTGACTTTTAAGTAAAGAAAATTACGAGTCTTTGGGACCCAAATTGAGAAGTCCGATTTTCTCAAAAGTGGGTCCAATTTCAATCAGCCAACCATAATCTTAAGTGGAGCACGTCTTTAGATGTCTTAGCTGCTAATTTTTTCAAATTTCTTGCCTAATTAAAGTCAAACAATTCTGAAAAGTCAACTGTTGATTTTGACAGGGTCTTGATCCAAAGTCAACGGCCAATTTGTTCACGAATTCAATTTGCCTTGGAGAAAAGACCATCAACGGAGAAGATTGCTTTGTGTTAAAGCTTGAACCACATCTTTCGGCACTACAAGTACGAAGCAGTAACAATGTGGAGATAATGAAGCACACGATTTGGGGGTATTTTAGTCAAAAAACGGGTCTTTTACACCAACTTAAAGACTCGCATCTCGTAAGAATAAAAACACCCGGGAGCGATAGCGTGTTCTGGGAGACCACCATGGAGTCACTGCTCCAAGACTATCGGACCATTGATGGAGTTAACATCGCTCACGGTGGCCGGACGACGGTGTCGTTGTTTCGGTTTGGGGAGGACTCCGAAAGCCATTCACAAACGAAAATGGAGGAGGTTTGGACGATCGAGGAGGTGGATTTTAACATAAAGGGTCTCTCAATGGACTGTTTCTTGCCGCCAAGTGACTTGAAGAAAGAGGACGATCAATCAATTGTGCACGCCACAAGCGGCGACAAGTTCATCGGAAGTGCTAGGCTAACCTCCAAGAGCAGAGGAAATTCTTCGAGGTTCGGAGTTCATAAGATTGCCGCAATCGATTCCAATGGTTTTGGGGATTTGTGACAAGTGTCATAATTTGTATATATTATGTCTATATACCGTTGTACAAGCTGTATAATATTTACATATAGTGAATCGTTTGAGCTTGACGTGCTCTTAGACGATCAATTAGAGGATGTTAGTTGGATTTTTTCATACTGAAACTTAAATTCGTTTGTCATATACGGCCCAATGGGCTTTATCAGACGGCCCAATAATGATGAAATGAAAAGAAGATTCCCGAAACCTGCGCAGATAACTTCTCTAGAACCTTCAAGACACAATCTAAAAGCGGTTATATATATACCACCACTGCCATTCAATCAGACCCCAGAATTCAGTTTCAGATCAGCAATTATTGGATCTCTGATCATTTGCAGTTAGCGATCAAGCACGAATATGGCGTTGGTCCCAGGCTTTTTCACTGGTCGTCGAACAAACGTGTTCGATCCCTTCTCTCATGACTTGTGGGATCCTTTCGAAGGCATCCCCTTCAACAACAACCTCCGTTCCCTCTCCGATCGGGTCCGATCATCTGAAACAGCGTTGTTCGCGAACGCTAGTATCGATTGGAAGGAGACCGCAGATGCACACGTGTTCAAGGCGGACGTGCCAGGGCTGAAAAAGGAGGAAGTAAAGGTTGAGATCGAGGACGATCGAGTGCTCCAGATCAGTGGAGAGAGGAACAAAGAGAGTGAGGATAAGGGCGATACGTGGCACCGTGTGGAGAGGAGCAGCGGGAAGTTTATGCGAAGGTTCAGGCTACCGGATAACGCGAAGGTGGATGAGGTGAAGGCGTCGATGGAGAATGGCGTGCTGACTGTTACTGTGCCGAAAGTGGAAATGAAAAAACCTGAAGTGAAGTCGATTAACATATCTGGGTGAAGACGATTGGTGTTTCTCGATGTTACGGTGGAAGTCTACTGGTCGAATAATGTGTAGTTGAGTTCGGTTCGTATCGATCCTCATATTCTGCAGTATCTATTAATCGAATGATGTTTGTGTAGTAATGTGTGATTTAGGATTAATAATCTGTCGTGTGTGCTCGTATTTTTGGTGTAAATAAATGTTTGGAGAACAATGCCCAAGAAACCCATCCAAATAAGCATTTTTGTTACTCCATCAAATTAAATTTCAAGCATCACAAGTTAGATTTTGTTTCAACTCCCATATGGTTTTATTTATATAAATGCAATAAATAAACTCATACATCCTTCTCATCTATGATAAGGTTTGAACCGCCGACTTTTTAGGAGGTTAAATACTATGAAACTCTTAAGAGCCTTTGGTAACTCTCATATGTTATTTTCTTCGATTTTCATGTAACATCTTCGGGTAATTCTTCAAGTTCCAAATCATTGTCAACATTCATTGATTTTAACTCATTGCTCAAAGATTCAGGCCATTGAGTTAAGCGGCCTCTAGCGTGGCTTCGTTAGAATAGTCGGGGTCTTAATTTCACGAAAATCATAATAAGGTTTGTTTAAATAAAAGGTAAATTTGATTAAAAGTGAATTATATAATTAATCATCGATGTGGTTTGCTCAAATTATTGATGGTTCATAACTTTTCAATTTTATTATTCTTATTAAGGTCTCTAGGATTGATATCGTACATTAACAACCGTTATAAAGGACGAATTAGTCTTTAGACACAGTGTAGATGCCAAAAGTGTAATTCTCTCTAAAATTTGTTGTAATTCGCATCTTCCTTCAAAAAAATTATGAAAAATATTTTAAATATCCTTAATCTGAAAAAGTTAATGATATGTTTAGAATGCAGGAATGGAATGAAATTAGAGGGATTTGGATTTGAAATCCCTTACAATCCTGTGTTTTCATTTTTGTACGATTTGAAATCCCATGAACGATGGATTTAAGAATCCTTTGGAAAGACATGGTATTTTAGAATCCATTCCCGTGGGATTATTTTTGCCCTAACGTACCCGTCTATTCTCCTCCATTTTCATCGCTTACCTCCGTCACTTTCTCCCACGGTCGTGTCTGTCGCCGTCGCTTTCTCCCACGGTCGTCTCCGTTGCCGTCGCTTTCTCCCATGGTCGTCGTCGTCGCTTTCTCTCACGGTCGATTGATGTAGAGTTTGTAGATTTTCATATCGATATAAGCATGATCAATTTGTGTAGTCATAATCTCAATCCAAATCCTACAAACCAAACACTGGAATGGATTTCAAATACAATTCAAATCCTGCAAACCAAACACAACAATAAATTTTAAATCCAATCCAAATCCCTCATAAACATTCCTCCAAACCTTAATTAAATAAATTTAAAAGGTATTACTTTGATAAATGGACTTTACGAAGTGATGTCTTATGTGGAAAAACACACTTAATGATGTTTTTAAGATTGTTTCCTTAAAATAGTAATAAGATCAAAATTGATTCAATTTTGATACAATTTTTTAATATTATTTTTTTTTATGTTAACATCACAAATATAATTATTTTGAATTATATTCAATATTAGACTCATTTTAAAAGTATCAATGAAATATTTGTAACGGTGTAATTTATAAAAGAAAATACATATTTTTAGTGCATTATAACTAATAATTAATTATGTTAAAATGTTCATATAATTTGCGATCTTGACTATTTTGTCTAACTTGACTTTTCGTCCTTATTGGTTATAATGTTAACAGGTTATGGTAGATTATGTCAAGAATTGAATGTTGTCGTGATGTGAAAGAGGAGGACTACGCCTGAATAAGGGTAACAGTGTCAGAATCCTTAATCTTGAAGGGACAAACCTGTCATAAGCTGAAAACGAGTTTAGCGACTCTTTGAGCTCAGATTTTCTCATTCTTCAAAATAGAATCAGTCTCATTTTTTCCACTTTCTCATTTTCGTTCATTAGTTTACGTTTAGATAGAAGTAGAACTTCATCTTGTTCTTCGTATTTAGCAATTGGTGTTATTTTTCAAGTAAGTCGTAATCTGTTCTTCATTTTCTCTGTTCTATACAATAAAATCTTCAAATCTACATAATTTGAACAAATTGATTAATATAATAAGAGCATAAAAACCAAAAGAGAAGTAAACTAAAACCATTAAATTAGTTGAAGGCTTAAAAACATAACTGATTCCAACCATGTCAAATAAAGAATTCACACTTTAAGCACTATAATTTTATGGTTTCACAAACAATCATATACCCAACAATCTCATTATGATATTGAAACTTTCAAATCTTGAAACCTTTAACCTTTTTATAACATAACCCAAAATCACCACATTTAAACCTCCATACCATAAATTTTTTTTTGTTCCTTCTTAAATTTTAATTTAGAACCTATTAAAACTTTTAAATCTTAAAACCTTTTAATCTTTAAAGCCAAACTCAAATCAATTATACATCACCCTTTGTTTTAAGTACATACCTGATTAGCATTGATGGATCTATAAATGTTATTTGAAACCACAAACCTAATGAACTACAAGCTTCCATTTTATTCAACCAAAACACAAAACATACAAATAACCTTACAACACCCACATCAAAGATACATATATATCATCATCATCCTGGATTTATATATATATATTACATTACAAGTGCCAGAAACCTAGCCGGAGATATCAATGGCCTTCACCACCGGCTTCTTCTCCTCCTCCTTGGGCACGCATACCGTCAGCACGCCGTTTTCCATGGTGGCTGTTACTTGATCCATTATCGCGTTCTCCGGCAACCTGAACCTTCTCAAAAACTTCCCGGAGCTCCTCTCGACCCTGTGCCACTTATCATTCTTCTCCTCCTGTTCACTGCTCCTCTCTCCGCTTATCTGCAACACCCCTCCTTCCTCAACCTCCACCTTCACTTCTTCCTTCTTCAGCCCTGGCAAGTCCGCCTTGAACACATGAGCTTCCGGCGTCTCCTTCCAGTCGATTCGGGCGTTGGCGATGGCTGTTGTTTCCCGTGAAGATTCAGGGAGGTTGCCAAGGGCAGTAGAGATCCCCTGAAATGGATCCCAGATGTCGAGGGAGAATGGGTCGAATACGTTGCTCTTCCTGCCGGTAAAAAAGCTTGGAATGATCGACATGGCTAGCTGGTTATGTCGCAGATGGCAATAGATGTGTTTTGTTCTGTGATGAGAATAGGATAAAGATGATGGAGTTATTTATAGGATGGAAAAGAGAGGGTGGTTTCTAGGCTTGTCTCGATGCTGTGAGAAAAGAGAGTTCTGAAATCTTCCATAAATGTCATGAAGCTGTGAAAAAAGAGGTTTCTGAAAGCTTCTCAAACTGTCTAGTTTTTTCCAAAGGGTTCATCAAGTACTTTTGGGCTATTATCAACAAGGTGTGCTTCAGCCCAATAATGTAACCCATTTGTTTATATATATATATAACATAAGGATATATAAAAAAAAAGTAATAAAACTCATAACTGTCTTCTAAATGTGATGGTTTTTTTTAAAGAGATGGGAAGTCTAAAGTTTAATTTTATTTTTAATTAATAAAAAATGATGTTAAAATCTGAAATCTGAATTAATAAGACTGTCTGTTTTTGTCAATTAACAAACGTTTGAAGTTTGAATCAATTGTTTGTTTTTGTAAAATCAGGTCCAAACATTTTGCAAAATTCTCTTGATTTTCATAAATTTTTTATTGTCATCTCAACAATTGCTTTAACAGATGGAACATAGTAAGAACCTTTTAGATACTTTTCAGACTTTTGATGCAATGGGGAATGCCACCGGTGAGTTTTGTTTGTAGAAAGTTTCGATACTTCTGTTGTGTCACATTGATTCGAGCGATCAAATGCAAACCACCCAATTTGTATAAACCGTGCAAATCACTCTCATCCGTCGATTTCATTGTTTAATCTTATAAAAGTTTTTTTTCATGAAATTGTGTAATCTTGTGAAATTGTTTCATATAATATTTTTTTTTATGAAGTTGTTTTATATATGGATATGAAATTTTAATGAAACTGTATTATGTATTTATCTAAAATTAAAATAATGAAAAACCATGTAAACTAATTTCAATCAATAGAAAATTTCATTTTTTTGTAATTAAATTTAATCATTAAGGGTATTTTGGTTATTTATATTGTTTTATATTAAATATGAAAGTTATTAATAAATCTTAATTAAGGAAACGTAATAAAGAAAATTTTATAAATGGTAACATTTAAATATTTAATTATATTATAATATTAAAAATTTAAACTTCTAATATTGTGTGGCGATTGAAATCTTTTTCAGAATCATGAAGATTGTAAGGTATTAGAGCAATGAATTCATCAAATCAATATTAAAATAAAAAATTAATGTTCATGAAACAGGTTTCATAATGGTGAAAATGGTGCATGACGTAATTGAACAATGAGTAGTGAACTGGTTTCATGGTGAAAGACGTTTCATAAATGTTGAAGTTGATGTTTAGAGTAAGGTGGCGTTTGTTTTTTAAGAGGTGTTGAAGTCTAAATTCACTTCTAATTTTTAAGAGGTGGTGCTGAAGTCTGAAATCTGAATCAATCAGACTGTATGTTTTTTGCGTCTGAAGTCTGAAGTTTGAAGATGAGATATCGAGAGTTGATATTGATCGACAGTTGACAGAGTTGAGAGATGAGAGATCGAAACAGAAGATTTGATCTAGAGAAATCGAGCGTAAAGAGATCAGAGTAGGTATGCAACAGTTTGAAATAAGAGGTAATAAGAGGTTTCTCAACCACTTAAATTTTCAGACTTAATAAGAGCTTTTAAGCTTTTAATTGAAAAAAAAAAAAAAGACACTGAATCCTCTTATGTCTGACCGATTCAGACTTAAGAGGACATTAAGAGCTTTTTTATTAAAAACAAACAGCCCCTAAGTGAAACGGATTATGAAACGGGTGCATCATGTAAGCGGTGCGTCATGAAACTAATGCATGATGAAACGGGTGCATGATGAAATCGTTGCGTCATGAAAAAATTGCATGATAGGGTGCATAATTTTTGTGGGTGTTTGAAAAAAGTGAAAGAATTTCAGAAAATGAAATAAAAAGCCTGATTCATTAGCGAAAAGTGAATCAAGTTCATTATCAATATCGTGAAATGTCAAATGACTCATCAAACCATGAATACCGATGAAATGGGTGAGTGAAGACAGTGAAACTATTTCATGTTTTATAATAAAATTTTATGTAATTAGTAAACAATGAAACAATTTCATTATAATAAAATTAATTACGTTGATTAGTTTGTTGATGAAATTGTGAAACCATTTCGTTCATATAATCTAATTCAATTTTTTCTTTATTTCTATTCAAACGATTCATTATATAGAATTGATTATGGTGTGTTTTATTTATATTTTTGATATATTTTATTGATAGATGTTATTTAAAAAATGTTAACGTAAAAATAATATATTACTTTACAAAATAAATTTGTTTCATTAATATGATATACAAGATATGGTTGCCTTGATTAAAATATACTATGAATTCATTATATTTAAATGTTTACCATTTTATCCTTATTGCTGTTATACGAATAAAATTTTAATATATATATTTTTTAATTTCCTAAAATAAACTAAACTAATCTTGACCATTTATCAAGAAGATGGATGGATGAGATTGGTTTACATGGTTTACACAAATTTAGGCAATTTTCATTTGATTGCTCCTCTAATCCATGGGTTGAGAATTGGTCTTACAGGTCTCAAGAAAAACCTTTGGTCTCACGTGAACCCAACCATATATATATATATATATATATATATACACACACACACACGTACACATACATATTTATATATACACACACACATATACATACAGGTGAGGGTTCAAACGAGAACCCCTGTGATTTACGAAAATGCAAGAACAACCTACTAACCTCAAACTTTTTTAACCAATAATTTAAATTATATTAAATACAAATAAATCAATAAAGGCAGTAATGTGATTAGATATTTTTTATATTTTATATTGATTAATTAGAATTATCTCATCTTTTTTGCTTAACATTGATCACATTCAACTGAACGTGTTGATCACATTGTGATAATCGTGTAATCAGATGTGTTAATCATATGATAATCGTGTAATCAGATGTGTTAATCATGTGATAATCGTGTGATCACATTTAATCTTATATCCCTAGTTCGATATGTTAATTGTGGTAAACATGAGATCTTCACTAAACTAATAATGTATACCCAATTGGGTTCAACTACACTTTGTCGATTCGATTATGTTTCGGAATCTCACGAATTTCATATCCCAATGTAGTTTAACGCAATGCAGTTGAGGAATCGAGTTGATACTCTAACCCTAGCTTAAACAATCGATTATCACACCCAAATCGTGATAAACATGTGATAGTCGCTAAAGGGATATACAATTTTTAGTTTGACCGCACTCTTATCGATTCGATTAGGTGTGATTATCACACGATTATCACATCCGAATGTAGTCAAACCCAAATTTGATTCGTATTTTTTTTGTGAAAATCGGTTCGAAGTTGATTCATTGTTGCATTATCACATGATTATCACACCCAATGTAATCGAACTCAAATATGAACTGTCTCATGTGAAACTCTGTTCGTAGTTGATACCTCGTTGCATATTCACATGATTATCACACCCAAATCAAGGAATCGATCTAACCCTAGCTGGACCAATCGATTATCACACCAAATTGTGATTAACATGTGTTAATCGCTAAACTGATATACTCTATTAGTTTGACCGCACTCTGATCATTCCGCTTAGATGTGATTATCACACCCTAAATCGAATTGATCACATCGATTAGGTGCATTTATCGTATTTTTGTGATAGTATTTTTTGAAAATCGGTTCCTAGTTGATTTATTGTTGTATTATCACATGATTATCACACTCATTTATCACACCCAAATTGAATTAATCACACGATTATCACACCCCAATGTAGTCGAAACCAAATATGAACCGTCTCATGTGAAACTCGGTTCGTAGTTGATACCTCGTCTCATGCATTTCACATGGGTGATGAAATGACGATAACGTTTCTGGTGGAGAAAGAAACAATAGCCAAAGAGAATCACATAAATGAGAAAATAAAATGAATAAAGATATTAGTTTACCTCTTATTTATTCACACCCTATTAATTAAGGAGAAGCTATGAAAAAAATATAAAAACAAACAGTCTGAATTAGAAAACGTTTGAACGAATTAGTCATAAGTGTTTAATTAAGAGCTGAAAATAAAAAAACAAATAAAATATTAGTTCATTCTAATATGATATTTTTTTTATGAAATTAAAAATTAGAATATAGTAACCTAAGAACTTGTCAAATAATCAATAATTATAAAGAAACTAGTCAAAATACGTATAAAACCACAAATAACAAAATTATATGTTTGTTAGATAAATAAAAATAATGATAATAATTAAAAAAATGTTCATCAAAGATGATTAATGGATACTAATTTAAATTTAATTATTGGTTTTGCGTAAATAGAAATAAAGAAATAAATTAGGTGCAAATAAACAAACAGCACCAGTGGTCTAGTGGTAGAATAGTACCCTGCCACGGTACAGACCCGGGATCGATTCCCGGCTGGTGCATTAAGCCGTGACGATATATGCGCTCTAAGTGTAGGTTGGGTCCTTCACATCCTTCTGATTCATCAGATAGTCGTAGCGCTTCTGAGCTTTCTTTTTATCTGATAAGTTAAAATGGATAAACAAGCATACGATGCATGAACAAAAAACCCTCCGTACATCAAGTTGGCTGAAGCAAAGAGGATGGATTGTGTTGATCTGTGCATGTGATTTGCATTTTCATGGAACAACCGAATCCACAGCAACTCATATTATCACTTCTTATATAATTAACCCTCCATCCTTCATTTTCAACTCCCCACTTTGCATTATGGATTCCGATCATTCCCATGTCCTCATCTTCCCTTTCCCTGTTCAAGGCCATGTCAGTTGCATGCTCAAACTTGCTGAGCTCCTCTGTCTCTCCGGCCTCCACGTCACCTTCCTCAACTCCGACATCATCCACCGCCGTCTTCTCCGTTACACTGATGTCGTCTCTCGTTTCTCTCGATACCCTGGCTTCACATTCGAGACCATTTCCGATGGCCTTCCCCCCGATCACCCTCGATCTGGTAATAGAGTTGTTGATATCTTCGATTCCATCAAAATGGTAACCAAACCTAGGTTTAGGGAAATGCTTCTCCCCGGCGGCTGCTTGAATTGTAGCAATCGGCCACCGGTTTCCAGTGTGATCGCTGATGGGATCATGTGTTTCACCATTGATGTTGCTAAAGAGATCGGGATTCCCATTTACCTTTTCCGTACGGTTAGTGCTAGTTGTTTTTGGGCTTTTTACTGCATTCCTAAGCTCATTGAATCCGGCGACCTTCCCATCAAAGGTGCATTATGTATTCTAATATTTCAATTATTTGATTGTTGGTTAAAAACACGTGAAATCAATACTAACGATTGATGATATAACAGAAGATGATGAAATGGATAGACTTCTAATTGGTGTCACGGGGATGGAGAAGTACCTTCGGCTGCGTGACTTGCCGAGTTTTTGTCGTGCGAGTGATCTATCGGATCGAGCGTTCCAAGTCGTGACATCGGAGACACAAGAGACGCATCGAGCAAATGGGCTCATACTCAACACTTTTGAAGACTTGGAAGAATCCGCGTTGGTGCAAATTCGTAAGCACATTCCTAATTTATATGCGATCGGGCCACTTCACGCCCACTTAAAATCCCGATTGGAAGCTCGAATGACATCACCACCTCGATCGTCAAACAGTTTATGGGAGGAAGATCGAACTTGCATGACGTGGCTAGATAAGCAGTCACGGAAGTCCGTCATCTATGTTAGTTTCGGAAGCATGACCATGTTGAGTAGGGAGGAGCTTATCGAGTTTTGGTATGGACTTGTGAATTCTAGGAAGAAATTTTTGTGGGTGGTGAGACCCAACTCGGTAGCCGGAGACGGTCAAAACTTTCCGACACAACTATTAGAAGGTACGATGGAGAGAGGATACATGGTGAGATGGGCGCCACAAGAGGAGGTTCTCGCTCATCCGGCGGTCGGTGGGTTCTTGACGCATAGCGGATGGAATTCGACGTTGGAAAGCATTGTGGCTGCGGTGCCTATGATATGTTGGCCTTATTATGCGGACCAACAAGTTAATAGTAGGTTAGTCGGAGAAGTGTGGAAGTTAGGGTTCGACATGAAAGACATTTGTGACAGGGTTGTAGTCGAGAAAATCGTTAAGGATTTAATGGGCGTAAGACGAGATGAGTTAATAAGACCGGTTGATCGGATGATGAAAATGGCACGAAGATCGGTTGTAGAGGATGGAACTTCTCATAGTAATTTGAATCGTTTAATTGACGATATAAAAACCTCGACGAAAAAGAAAGAAATATTTTAAACAGTGTTATCCAGTGGAAGATCGAATGGGTGTGGGATCGAAGGAATGAGTTCATTTTGTCAAACACAAACATGGACAAAATCAGGTGCTCAAAAGTGTTCGCAGAAGATGGATCGTCGTATATGGATCTAAATAGAATCGTTGAGGATGTACGTTAAATCCAAAGGGTCCAAGTCCATGTTGTAATGGTTGTGGCTATTCGAAATGGTTTTAAATAAAAACCGAAAGATAGGTTTGGATTATCGACCAACGACTCCCATTTTATGGATCGTTTTCACAATTTTCTTGAAACCCAATCAAAAACACGAACTTGCATATGAGAAAAAAGAATCGTAGTGGAGGATGACTTTTTTCAAAACAAAATGTTGTTACAATGACCTCAAATCAAGTAGCTTAATTGTGGTCCGAACAATTGTTTACCATATCTTTTTCAACCAAGGAGTAAAAGAGGTGGACCCTTGAAACTTTAAAATCACCGTCACCGTGCTTCCCTAATTGATATCGACCCCCCCCCCCCCCCCCCATTTTATGGATCGTTTTCACAATTTTCTTGAAACCCAATCAAAAACACGAACTTGCCCCCCCCTAATTGATATCGTAGTGGAGGATGACTTTTTTCAAAACAAAATGTTGTTACAATGACCTCAAATCAGGTAGCTTGTGGTCCAAACAGTTGTTTACCATATCTTTTTCAACCAAGGAGTAAAAGAGGTGGACCCTTGAAACTTTAAAATCACCGTCACCGTGCTTCCCTAATTGATATCGAGCCCCCCCCCCCCCCCCCCAATTTCAGAACCATATCCTAAATCGTCTTAACGTTCTTGCACCTCATGATACAATGATCAAGAGTTTCAAACTCCTTTTCACAATTTGCCCATAAGACCGAGTCTAAGTCGATGCCTCGATCACTTGTATACAAGTAATTTGCAAGTATATATCAATTGACCTTGCCACTATATCATAAGATGGCTTTCGGCAAGGAGCAACCCGAAAGTAGTTGACTTTAGTGTCTCACGCCAATCATAGTTTTTGATCCTACCCTTTTGACACTTTTTTGTTGTGAAATTCACGAACACTTACCAAATTATTTATCTTGTCGTATAACCATGTTAATGGCGAAGGATTTTACCCAACAACAAGTATGACAATAACCGAGGTTCTTACTTGGTAAGCAACAGATAAAACTCTTGCTCTGTTACTACTTATCATATACATAATTCATCACAAAAAATCCATTTTAATGATAAGAACGTTAGTAAAAATAAGTAAATTATAAGATATCTGAGTTTGGTTTAATTGTTAGTTTGTTACTAAGCAAATCTAATTTTATGTATGCAATTTTTTTAGCCCATAGAAATATATGAATATGAAGTTAAATAATATATATATATTTTCAATCATCTCATTATTTGATGTCATTATATAAAGCCAAAAGTCAATGAGTGCAGTTATACCAAGTAACTACTATCATATGTTTGACCTGGCACACTGGATTCTGCGGATCCACTATTTTATATTAAATTGATTTATTTATTTCTAGAAAATCTTGGTACAAGCTTACAAAATCAAAACTCTATCCAGATGTTAGATACGTATTATTGTTATATGTTTGACTTGATGTTTATGTAAAATAGTCTAAGTGGTAGGAAAAAATGGAATAAACATGTTCCATATCAACATCTCCACCTATATAAAGAGTGAAACAAACCTATATTTTATTAATATAATGACAAATAGACCATGATAGATATTTGTTTACACAGGTATATAAGTGATATTATACCGTTGAATAATAAGTCTTTAGTTTTTCATTTTCCAAAACATCAAATTTGTTATCGTTTTTACATTTTATTTTATTCTTTAATTTTTATTTGTTTTATTGATATTTTTTAAACATTTTATTCACCTTCATTATCT